TAATAAAGACAATTTGTCTTTATTAACTCCTGATATTATGTATATAACAAAATTACTAAAACTAAACGATTTAACAATGATGGAGTTTTTACGTTTTATATTTTAAACTCAAAAAGTCGAATGGGGCTAATTTATGTCCTACATTCTCACCCAACCTTATTTTATAGGTATTTGCATGTGTCAGTAATTATATGAGATACAAGCACACATCTTACGACATTGTATTTAGCCGAATAGAGAGGGTTCAACTATTCCATGTTTGAACATTTAGGGAATCATTTTTTATTTCACACATTGCGTGAAAAATGTACATAGCTTGTTTTTGTTTTGTTTTTAGAGATTGTGTTTGTTTTTATTACTTTATTGTTTATAGAACTGAGCCTTTTAGCATGTAAATGAGTTGCGCTAGTTGGAAATGCAAAACGGATCTTGGGCTTCCATTTTACTTTCTTGTAATTGAGGAGCTTGAAGTATATACCCTATGCATTCCAAACAGCTGTAAATCAAGGCTCCATTGCCACCAAAGAGAAACATGTAAAATACGTGAGTGACCAAAAACGGCGTTGCGAGTCATGCAATTGCACCAGGTTGTTTAGTTATTGCGTACTCAATTTCTTACAAACTCAATCATGAACATGATTAGCTCTCTTTCGAGTACGAAAATGAAATCAGGGATGGGGAAGTGAAGTGTTTAATATTTTCTGTTCACGCGTGTTAAGTATTTCATGGTATGTGTAAAGATCGTGATAAGGCAACTTGTGCTTCGACTGGAGGATGACTGTCTAATAGCTAATGTATGTACAGCGAAATATATGCCATTGTATATCATAGTGATGATACATATACCTTATTGGGTAGCGAGGTTTACCCACACACCAGGGTTATATTCATATAGACCCGATGCAGTTTTGTTGCTACTATGAGCTGGTACACGCACGTAGATAGCTTTATCCAGACTGTGAAATTGTAGTGCTGCATATATACACCAATATCGATATGCTGTTGTTGAATTTTGTGATATATGACCTTGCACACGTGTAATTTAATCATGAGTTAGCAGTCTTACAAAAATGTGTTTCTGTAGTTTCCCTCGGGTATCAGATGACTGGCGTCATGCAGTTCCAAATTAAAATGCACAGAGCCGTCAATTTCTTAATTGAGGAATAGCATCTCACAATTTATAGTGTAATTATATATTTCATTTGTAAATATTTCGTAGATTGTAGGTATAGTAATTGATCTAAAAGTCCAATTACATATATCGGTATGGCTGAAGTATTCAATATGTGGTTATAGTCATTTGGTAATTCAGTTCCAGTAATGTTTTATAAAACACTGTCTTACATTCATAGAAATAATACTGGGTGTCTCTATATATTTCTATGCTTACACTATTAATACAGTATTTAAATTTACCAAATTTGATTCAGCTATCTGATATTATTTATTAAGTTACAACCCTATCCCAAACTGAGTTAGTATTGAATGGTCAAAATAAAAACCACCCATCTTACTTTTTTATGTTTAATTGTCCACTTTATTGAAAGATAATTGGAGTCGCAGTTTCAGTTTTAAAATCAAATTAAGTAGGTTCGATAGGTCGTCATAAATATTGCAAGGTTGTCACTTGGTACAGTATTTTTTGTACTGAATTTATCATGGTATTAACCATTGGTGTTCATATATCTAAGCTTTTATATGAAAAAATGTTTCTTTGATCCAATATGGATTTCTTTGCAATACATGTATTAAAACTGAACATATTACCTTATCTTCTACCTTATCTGTATGCAGCCAAATAAGCACCGTACTTCACCGCGTGATAAAATTCGAAAGCAGTCTAGACATAATCCGTAATCATTTAGTATTTTGAAAGCTGTTGGCCATTGGGTTGGAACCAGATTAAGTTTTCTTAAGTATCTGTTGTATCGAGAGATGTGCCGATTACTTCATTGAAAAGAAGATGGAATATTTTATACTATTGATGAAATATATGATGAAATATTTTTACTATGGAATATAAGGTAATAGCACATTTACTTTAAAAACCAGTATATTTTTAGATGCAATTAACTATCACAACTCCACAGTGCTCTCTTAGAGTTTCTAGTGAGAACCCTCCTAGAGTAGTGCAGGCATTGAAGTAGTAGTCATTAGCAACGGCTAGTGCCAAATTTGTTCTGTCATCCTCCTTTACACTCGAGACACTTGATAAAAACGTCAGTGTAATATTTTAATGTGATATTTTACACATAACATCTATATATATAAAGTTGTTCAGCCGAATTAGTTCGTACTCGCATAATTATAGAACTCCGCAGCCTAGAGGAAAACTAAACATATTTTCAGAATCAGCATGTCTGGGAGGTGGTTCTGGCTGAAACAAAAATTTAAAAAAGTTAAAAATTCATAACAAGAGCCGCAGAGCTTCTGGGCTCATCTGAGGTGTGTTGCTACGATTATAAACGTAAAATTTCAGTCATGCGTAGTACCACATTTGTTAGGCGCAGATATGCAGACACGCAGTTGCGTACACATCATTGTTAGGACAAGCCCACTATCGCAGATGGAGGGTAGGGGGAGGGTGGGGGTGGGGGAGGGTAGGGGGAGGGTGGGGTGGGGGAGGGTGGGGGGAGGGGGCTCTAAGATTTCCCGGCAAACAGCCCGTATCTACGTAATATATAAGCCACCATCTGTTGCGCCGTCACAAAAATTCCACGGTGTAGGATAACACGTTGTGTGCGAGTGAATAATTCGACAATGATTAAAACCATTGCTGGTGATTTGAGGCGGTTAGAAAAAACATTGATTTTGCAGAAATTTGATTGGCTCTTTATAGAAGCACATAGCAGACTTTAATACCCGTGACAAGCACCAAATCGTAGCCTTAGAAATACAAACTTCTAAATTTAAGTGACACAGTTGAAAGTTAAATATTCATGCAACTGAAAGGAAAACAGAAACAAAGAGCGCAATTCTATCAAAGTGACGCAGGGGAAAAAGCTGCCACTTTGGGGAACCCGACTTCGGTTGAAGTATGAACAATACCTCCAAAATCGATCTATCTATTATGATCTATCCATTCCATCACATCTAATCTCTCTAGCCTATCTATCTCCATCCTCCATCTATCCATCTATTCCGCATCTGTCACTGCCCATGTCATCCGCGTATCCCTACTCTCCATACCTACCCAGCATGTAAAGGTCAGATATATAATATATCTCTATTTATATATGATAATGTACACATCTACTACTATATATGCACAAACTGCTGTTTATTAGACCTATTACCATGAGAGCTTAACTTTTTTACCAGACGTCAACACGTTACGATCGCTCTGCCCCCGTTTTGTTTGTTCAATGTCTGTTTACTTTTTGTTCAGCCTTTGTTCAATTTTCTGTTCATTCTGCTTTTAATCTATTTTGCTTCCATGTCATCGTTTGCTGTTTGCTTCAGTACTGTAATGAGTAAACTTTGTATGAGCCTAAATACCTGCGTGTAAGATAAATAGACATGAAAATATTAATAAATAATAATAATATCTCAAACAAAATATTAAGTAATTTTCTAGCAAATTTTCTTTAAATGAATGTAGTAACACTTCTATTTGTTTTCATATTTTAAAATTAATCCGCGAAGTGGCAGAAACTACATATGCAAAAGTCAAGAAAAGTAAGGGGAAATTTTTTCCTGAGATTCGAACAGCCCTATGGAATCTCGGGTTCTATGAAACCGAGCTTCCCATACGACTACCGCAGTCGAAGCCAATGCGACACGGACATAATTCCCACGGTGCATATTCCTCCGACGTGCCCAGATCTGATAAAATATTATCAAAATAAAGATACTAATTAACTTATATATAAAATATATGATGATAAATATTCTGTTAAATGATGGCCATTTATATTGACGAATAGAATTGACTTAATAAATTTTTTTTTACTTTTTTCATTGTTGCTCTCAGCCAGAACCACCTGCAATGACCGTGTGATTCCTGAATATATCTCTCAGTATAACCGCCCGCCGCGATTAAGTCGAAAATATCCACGATAAAAAGCGAGGTCAAACAAACACACACATCTCGCAGTTTAGGCCTCTCTTTAAGTAAGGATCTCAGAGCCATATACTATATATATATATATATATATATATCTACACACA